AAAATATTCTTAGTAATATAATTGTAATTACATGAAATATAAAATCCTCATGAATACATGCACAAATAATACATAAGAGTAATAAAAATAGTCCATTTTTGTCACCACAGAAAAATTTAAACCACATTAACCTTACAGAATCTTAAAGAACTTAAGATAACTCTACTCTTATCCGGGAAACTGAGTCGTTTTAACAAGCGAAAGATATAGACGTCTTCTGAAGGATGCCTTGCAGGGACAGAACAGATAAGCAACATTTTCTCTTCCGTCCTCTGCTCTAACTCACAATGAGAACAGTAGTCATTAAACTTTATTCGCATGGCAATCTAATACAAGGGGGACACGTTCCTGAATTTTACTTTTGACACGTTACTCTGAATGGTTTTCTTTTGTTACGATGGGACATGGTCCTGAGGTAAGTGTGGGTTTTCTTATGGTTATAGCGTCGTAGTCAACGAAACTATTGAGTTTCGGTGTGCTAATAATATTCTTAAGTTAAATACACTCTTCTGCCACACCTTCCACAGAAATAATCATGTAAAGTTTATTATACAGTCTAAAAAGTAGCTCTTAAACGACTCGAGATACTTTGAATGTGCGAGTCTTCGAACAAACATATCATCAATAGCCATTGTAGATAGATGAGGTGTTGGTAAAGCCGACATCTCATTCTAAAGTAATGTTACTTGCGTGGAATTGAATTATAAATCTTCCCCAAATAAGTATTCAAATATTCGGTTAGGAAGTTTAGATTGGCTTGTTTAAATTTATATACGTAGCTGTCGGTTGAAATTGAAATTAGCGTTCGGTTTATTGTTTAGCGATGCTGGCAAGGACTTTATCTTCTAGACTTCTTATTTGGAATTCTTATAGCTTTATGGATGTGATTATTTACAGAGCTGAATTTTGAAACTTTCTAAAGTTCAGAGGAAAACTGTTGCTCTGAGTTACTTAAATGGACATAGGAAGCAATTATCTAATTTGATTTTAAACCTCAATGAATATTTCTTATTCATTAGCGGTGATGACAACAACTTGATTTTAAAATGTGACCATTCCTCTCTTGACGGCTTTGCTCCATGGGCGCTTCTGCAGTCTAGCAGTCTACATTGAGCAAGGTTAGTACTTCTGCAACTTGAACCTTCACCGTATGGTCTCTTTCCTTGCATCTTCTTTCACCCACTTCATCCCGCTTCAAACGCTATTACATTAGAAAATCATCTTCCACACAGAACTCTGATGAATCCATAGTAACACCTGTTGGGATGTCAATTCTTCGTCTTATGTTCGGGTCGATATGATAGTTTTGGGTTATGGTGATTACAAGATACATGAAGCTTTGATAATATAGTCTCCAAAAGCCATGTCGGCGGCTGGAGCCCTGTTATGTGCGTCTTTGTTTTTTATTTAAAGATTCAGGAAAATTGAGCTGCGAAAGAGTAAAGTTAAGGTGAACTCTGTCAAGTCTCAGATATCAGATAGGATATGCGAATGAAGGTTTAATAAAAAAGTGAATCAAAACAGCTTTTATATTGTGGCATCCGGTGTATCCGGACTCTTTTGATTATAACTGCCGTCACTGACAATCTATTTGCAGTCACTCATAAGTAGGCTTTGCAAGCAACATAAACGAAATTTGGAAGTTTTATATAAATATTTATTTTTTGTAAATTCGTTTGTTAATTTATGCTAAGAATTGCCAAAAAACTACTAATGGGTTTCGATCTCTACTGCAAGCTTTTTTATGGGAACTGTTCAGCCGCCGACACAGACAAATACCGTATTATTACGATATGTGTAAGCTTCAGAAAACTTTCCAACAAAGACCGTATGAATAGAACCTGATTCCGTTCTTCGGTTTTAAGTGAGCTTTTAATGCAGCACTGCCTTACCGTTGCAGTTTCGTTGTTAAAATTGCGTTAAGTTTGTTTTAATACGCGTTCCAAGACAATTAAAATCCAAGGGCGTAGTGAGTCCTTGCAGGGGGGCTGAATTAAGATTTAGAAATAATTCCGGGGAAAATTTTGTTTTTAATTGGTCGAGAATTATAATTATCGCAAATAAAATGAATAATCAAATGAATTGAAAATATTTGTGATTCATCTCAGTACTTTTATAAAAAGTAAGTTGCCATTTTGAGGTGTCTGCCAAACCACTCTAGTACCTAGAGTCTTCGTCTTATTGTCTTCAACATCATTGTCATGAATCAATGGTAGTTTAGATACATTCTTTGAGTCGAAAGAGTAACTCATCACTCATCACTTAATTTTTATAATAATTTTATGAATTTATAATGACGGATGAACATTTAGATTATATTTTTCCTTAAAAATTAATAATTAAGATTTTTTCGTTTTGCTGTGAGATATTTGGCTAAATTACGATAGTTAGTAGTAGTAGTTTTTTCACAATTTCTGCTGTCAAACGATCCAGTAATGCCGCGTAGTAGATACTATTGATGGTTTTCCCTTTTTGAGATAGTTAATGAAGATTATACCAAGTGCATCCCAAAATACTGAAGCCTAACCTTCCCAGCTGCTTGTTGTGCTTTTGGATGCTTTGGACGTGGTTCACCGGCTGTAGTCCACTCAGATCGTTTTGATTCTGGAGTGAAGTGATGGATCCATGTTTCATCCATTGTCACATATCGACGCAAAAAATCTAATTTATTACGTGGCACCAACTTTGAAAAGAGCTTTCTCATGGTCAAATGTTCATGCATAATTGGAAACACATTGGCTTCTGTTATCTTTAGGGTCTCAGCTATTTCATGCAATTTCAATTTACGATCAGATATAACCAATTTCTGGACTTTTTTGATGTTTTCTAGAGTAACCACCTAAATTGGACGGCCAAAACGTTCGCTATCATCGGTGTCTGTGCAACCACATTAAAATTCAGCAATCCTATAACAAATGGTTTTTCTCAATGGAGCAAAGTTCAAATAACACTTTTGAAGCCATTGCTGAGCTTATTCAGTATTTTTTTTCATCAAGAAGCAATGATAAATGAACACACAAAATTATTTTGAATCCATTATTTTGAAAATAGCAAAAATAGCTTCACTTAAACGGCTATCACTTTTTCCTGACTAATCGAAATGTCATGAAATTTTACACATAGTCTTTTGAAGGTTAGTATTTCATAAACGTCATATAGATTTGACAATGGCAGCGCCATCTGTGTGTCAGTTGTACGACTTATTGATTGCTGTACTATTATCTAGAAATATTCTATTGAAATACCTATACGTTACGCACTGTATCTGTACACCTTTTATGGTACATACTCACATTTTGTTCATTGTGACCAGAATAATTCAAATATTTTTCTCAGCGTTTTGCATTCACGTCATGTCTTAACAAAGACAACTCATACACTATAACCAACATAAGACCTCTGAAAGTTAGTCACATTAATTCATTAAATAATTGTCCAGAGTTGACCAGAACACATATTGATATTCAATAACTATAAACTGCAGGAGGGATAACTTCATTTAAGTAATAAAACAAAAGCGATATTGAAGGGACTTACTCTCTGATGTCCTGAATTGCAAATCCTCAGATAACAAAATTGTTGTATGGTTTTGCTATGTCTGTCATTTTATTTGGCTGGTTTGAAGTAACGCACAGTTTGATTTTTTTTCAATCTCGCAACTTCAAATAGGATGGATATTGACGCAATAAGAATTCTCTTCGATACAACATATCTGTATTTGATCATTAAATTTTGTGTTAAATTATGCCTCAAAAATGCTCTTATTCTTACTTTTAAAAATCCTTTCATATAATTAAGAGTGTTATTCAATCGGTGATATGGCAATTTTAAAAAAGTTCATCATTCATTTCGAAACTGATAGTATATTTACATTCAAAATAGATTATAAAAATTTAATGTGAAAATCAGTGTTCTCAGAAAGGGATACGTAGCGCTTACTCACATTGGGTCAATATTATCGACCCAATGGACATTGTCCATTCCAAAAACAGTTGAAAAATTTTACCAACACATTGAATCTTTTGGACACCAAGCCACCATAAAAAGGCACACAAATGAAACCAACGCCATCTGTGAGACCACTACCGATGAAAAGCCTAATTGATCGATTTGACATCGTTCATAAGAACTTGATTTTTCTAAATCCATAGACGACAGCCCTATTTCCTAGTAAACATTCCTGATACATAAATAATCACCCCAGCCGCAAACCTACTGTTTCCAAAC